TTCAAAGACCGCATACGTTGTTTATTCCAAATAATATATAAAATATAAAATAATTTTGATAATGTAGTGCATAGCTTAATTGTTTTTAAAAACAATACTTTTCACTTGTTGAAAGGAAAAGTGCTACATTAAAAATAATTGGAATATTTTATCTATAAATAGAGCACTATTGTGCACTGGCATTTGAAAAATTTTTAATTAGATAATTTTATTCGGAATATACATATATTTATCCTATGATAACTTGTAAATAAAATTAGTATTTTTAAAATGCATACCTAGTTGTTTATGAAAAATTTTTCCTAAACTAGTTTGTTTATTGAAGTGTATTAGGTTTTTATAGTTTTAAGTTTTATTCACAAATTCATATGTGTGTACATATATATCTTATGAAATAGTAATTTGTAATTATGTCAAATAATATTTTCATGAATTTTTAAGATTTACAGTCGATTTAAGATTTACATCTTCTCGATTTACAGTCGGACCCATTAACATAAACACATTACAAAATTAGACGACGTTTGTTAATTACTTTTAATTAATGGCCCGGGCTTTTTATTAACAAGTTTAGTTACAAGTGCAAATTTTCCTTCTAAGCAAATTCTACACTTATTTCATGTTTAAAAATTTCGAAAATATACACAAATAAAACTTCGATTAGACGATTTTTTAAGCTTATATTGAAGTAATTAAGGCAACTGTAATGATCAGAATTGAATTTTATATAAACAATTCTAATTGCAAAATATATATTGGAAATAATGTCTCCGAAATTTCTCATTTAAACATTTTATTTATAATAGACTTTTAATTTAAAATTTCGGTGCGTACCTGCAACTTGCTTGATAATAGCGTATTTTGAAGAACTCTTGTAAAAATTTGGGTAATCTAATTTCGGACTTGACCTTTTTCCTTAAGCAATCTCATAACAAATTTTTTCATTGAAATTTAACACTATTATAATATAATTACAAATAATATAATCACCTATGCTTTTAGTTTAAAATTTACAATTAGAAATAAATAAGTAATTTAAAACAATTTTTATTTCAATATTCAATTGACACTTTCACTAAAAATTACGAATTTTCTCAAGAGTATTAATGATTATTTATTTTAGACATGGCCGATTAAAATTAATAAGGAAAATTTTTGTTTTTGTATATGAGTTAGGCCAACTCCGGTTTTTATTTTTAGAAAATATTTATTTAATCAGAATCTCTACAGAGTTAACAACATTTGTTTAATACTGATTCTATTGAATTGAACCATAATCCAGTAAAGCGTGTAATTACATTCATGAATATTTAATACAAAAGTTTATTCATAAATCACAAGAAAAATATTGACCTAAACAACAATTTATTATCAGTACTTAACTTATTTCAAAAGTATGTATAGATATTATATGTAGTAGTTAGAGGAAGTCTTAAAAATAAATATTCATTATTGAATATTCACACATATTTTTGAACAATGTACCTAATCAAAAAAAGGAAAAATCTTGATAATAAAATTTATGAGTAATTTTATTTGATGTAATAAAGTTTTTGTTTTTTATTCCTCCTTGATTAAATTTCCATTTTGTGGAAGAATAAAATACAATTTATAAATAATTTATTAAGGTGATTGTACAAAATTGTTATACTCGTATTAATTTCTCAAAATAAGAAGCGATACTCAAATAATGTTACGCCTTATGATAGGCAATATAAATTAAATATTACTGGAATAATAATTTTTAATATTAAAATAAAATTATTTATTCAAATCAAATCATGTACAAGCTGTAGCTATATTTTTTCAATGATACGCACATATCTATACGTACCACAATAAAATGTTAAATAAAAGAAATTTTCCTTATGCCTTAAGGAAAAAATAAAATTTTTTTTTTTCTCATTAAAAGAAAAATTAAATAAAAGTTATTCATAAGAAAGATTTTTCATCCTTGGTTAATTCTTAAAATCTTATGTCATTGTACTGTTGTGTGGTTGTACTTAAGTTTTCTTACTGCTCATACATATATCAATATATGCAATATCGTTTACATACCTTATTAATTAAAAATTTCAGAAAATTGGGATTAAATTTTAAGAATATAAGTTAATGAAGCAATAATATTATTATGAATTTTGTTTGGAACCTCAATAAATAAAGTTCATGTATGTATGGGTGATAATTAAAATTTAATAATACTTTTACAAACCACAATAATACCATGTATGTTCTACCTAACCTTAATTTAAAAAATTTTTAGGTTAAAAATTTTTGAATGTTAGTTTAAAATCTTCACTCTACAATAAAAAATATTTGCGTTCTCTTCTATTTTAAAATGAAATTCGTTAAAGTACTTAACTATTGAATCTACTTTTGATTTGCAAGAAGAATAATAAATTATATATTTGATATAATACAAAAGAATACTCTATTGCAAAACAAACGATATTTTACTAATTCGAAATTAGCTGAGTTCTGCATTATTAACTCAATTAAAATATAATTATAAATGCATTTACTTTCAAATTCTTTTGCAAAATGCTTCTAATCATCGAAAGTATTTTATAAATTGCTTTCATTCCAAACAAATTAAATGACAACTCAGTTCAAAATCAAATGAAATATGGTGGAGTTGACATTATCAACCCCATTTATACCCAAACGAATAAATTTAATGAAAATAACAAATAGTACGAGTATGACGTTTTGCTTATCTGCTGTCTGCTGCAGAAATTACAGAATTACTTATTTAGCTGTCATATAAATCAAACAATTTCAAATAATGTTTTTTTTTAAATGTTAACTATATTAGCTAACTTTATTAAAGGATCAATATAGTTTAAATAAATTGTAAAATTAGTTTTGAAATTTTGCAGCTATATTCAAATCTCTGACTCAGCTACATAAAATGCGATTCTGATATTTATGAAGCTATATTTTCAATTGCAAACCAATTTTTCAAAATTTGACTTAATTGAATTAGTCATAGTTGGAACGGACAAAGAAACAGATAGAGTTAATTGGTAGATAAAAGCTAAATTAACTTAGAATCAAATACTAGTAACCCATATTTCACAGAATAATAAATTTATAATACTTATAAAAATTGTGTATATGTACACATTTACATTATGTAACATATACGATCCTTAAAGCCAATATATATTGTTATTGTTAAATTAAATTACAATAATATTAAATTTAATAGACTTTAATTGAATATAAAAAACAACAACTTTTCTATTAGTTTGTAAAAATTTTAAATCCTTACTAAAATGCAAAGAGATTTTTTTACTGGTTCCTTATACAAGTATGTAAATATAAAAATATAAAAAGGGAAATTTTTTAAGATCATATAATTTTTCTTTGCTTGAACTTCTTTATAACTCATAAAAAATTTTTGAGGTTTTTCATACATTTTCATTACTTACAGCTATTATTTTTTAATTCTACCTGAACATATTATGTACATAAAACAAAAAAGAAGAGAATGAAAAATCCTAAAATCCTAAAATTTTCTTTTTAAGGTTGGTTTTGCGTCACAAGTACGAGTATCACATAAAAATTCGTTCATATTTTTATTACTCCATTTTAAAATTTACAATTGAAACAAGGATATACGCACACAATTTTATATTATCCTTATTTTGACTTGAATAAAATAAAAAGAATTCAACTTAATATTTTTTTTAACAGATTTTAAACAAAAGGTTACTTTTGTGTGTTATACGAGTACAATATGATCATTAAAAAAAAAGTAATTCAGGTGTTTTTAAAGTTTTTGTTTTCCAATTCAATTTTATTATTAATTGCCTTTTAATTTTATTATATCGTGTTTTTGAAAAAAAAAAATAATGTTTATTAAAAAATGAACAACATTGTATCGAAAATAATCTAAATATAAACTAATTTCAAGTATACGTGATTTAGGAATGGGTGTGATTATATAAAATGTATGGGAAAAAGTATAAGTATACGTTAATAAAAATAATAATTTAGAACAATGAAAATTTTTGTAATTTAAAATATATATGTATGTACGAAATGTTGAATTTATTATTAAAAATATGAGGGGCTCAAAAATATTCAATCCATACTGAATTACAAGAATAAAAATAAATTCGGGTTTAAGATTAACAGAAATATTCCCGTCCGTCTCAATTATATGACTAAATTATTACTTATGATATGGACTCACTCGAAATAATCTCATCAGATATTTCATGTAAATACTTGATTTGCAATATATAGTGATAATGCAAGAATTCTACTTAATTCAAATTTCAGCAGGAATTAGCAGCGTTCAGGCGACTGCAATATAACTTTTAAAGTATTTCGCTTATTTCACAAATTATTCATGCTACAATATTGAAATGGTAATAATAAGAGAGAACGTTTTTTTTGAAAACTAGTTGATATTGCAGAAGTTCTTGTTACAACTACTAATCAACTTGAATTTATTCAACAAAAATTGGTAAATATGAATCATGGCATCATATGCGAGTTACAGTGTTGACACGGTTATCTTCACCTATTCTTGAAAACTGACAATTCGATCTCTATATAAATACTTACTAATCGCTAATTATTAGTTAAGGTACTTACTAAAATCGCCAATTAGTTTAATATCATTCATATATTCTAAATGCACCCTTATTCTGGCAACACTTGTAAAAATCGAATCGAAACTTAATGATAAAAATTTTGTGTAATTTCTGTTTCAGTTATTTTTCAATAAGAATAAAAAATGAAATATTCTATAAATATTTAATATTGTTATATACAGGTGTTTAAAATCCATTAAAAATTTTTAATGGAACTCAAAATTAAAACATATTTAAAATTTATCCGTATTATCTTTTTTTTAATATATGTATATTATATACATACATACGTACTTGTATATCTAAATTTTTTAAGCATATCTATATAAATAGTAAATAACGAAAGCAACATAAAAACAAAATATAAAATGGTCAAATTTAACTTTTACTTACCCTAACCTGCACGTAAATTCCTCACATTTACTTCCGACTGCATCATATAAGAATGGTGTAAGAAAAATAAAATCACTTTTTATTTGTCCTTTTGAGAAATTCACGAACACTAAAAATAAAAATGAATGTTAAGTAATAATTCAAAAAGAATAATAAAGAATGAGGTAAAAAATAAAAATTTTTTAACGTAAAAATTAAAATTGTAACGAGGAGTGTAACACATTTTGCAAATAAAACATTTTACTCAGAGCGGCGCAGTTTAGAGCGAAAAATTTTGAGTACATATACGAGTATTGTTTTCATTTTGTATGTTTTTTTTCTCTTTCTCTTGCTTTGTTTAAATATTTAAAGAAAAATTTTATGTTCACTACATCAGACCAAAGTATTTATGGTTTTTAATCCTACACTTAATAAAACCTTATTTTTACCACTTATCAAGTGAGTGGTTTTTCAAATAAATTTTGTGTACTTAATATAAAAAAATAAAATATTTTATTATAAAAATTTTTCAAAAGATTTTTGAAGCATAAAAAATATGATTAATGGTCATAAATATTAAAATATCAAAGCTCACTAGTATTTTAAGTGAAGAATAATGAGTTCGAAATATATGTACATATATGAGTTATAACAAAAAAGAAAAAACTGAAGAAGAAAATTATTTTAAGAAAAATATAAAAGTATTGCCTACTTTCAACTCTAGAAAGATTTTCAATTAAAATTTTCAATTAAAAATTATTTATGGCATAGCGAACGCAAATCTTATGCGACAAATTTATTTTTTTCCTCTTGCAATAATCATTTGAAGATTTTTCGTTTTGATTACGAATAATAACAGAAATGAAGTTTATATCACCCAATTGTCTACATTTGAGAGGAGAATCAAATTTAATAATGCAACGGTCAAATTAGATCCATGCATTTCAAAATTAGCAATTTTGTTTTCTGATAAAAAAGTTTTCGGCGCTATTTTTTTTTATTAGATTTAAATTAAGATCCAATATGATTTTACTGATAGAATTTAGAATTAAAACTTAATTTTAGAATTAAAACTTATTTGGAAAAGTTTAAGTTTTAAGTTCGGAAGTTTACCAAATATATATTATATATTTTTTTTTTTTTTGAAATTTATTGCAAAAACTTTGGTTATAATTTCAGATCTGAGAAAATAGAAAAAAAAACTAAATACATTATTAATGGCTTTCCATTATCTATAATATTAACCCCTTTCCAATCAGTCTTCTTCAGCTTACCTTCAAAAAAAAATTTAAGTCAATTATATAATATAAGCATTTTGTTATAGAAAATTTTTTTTTTGTATAAGAAATATGCAGCCAACTGTTATATTTCTATGTTTACGGTACTAAGAAAATTGTTTTTGATTTTAACAAACTATGTTATGAAATTTGTTGTTTTTGGCACTTTGAAACTAAACGAACTTAAGAAGTAGAAAGGAGGGTGACAACTGTCTATCTTATGTGCAGTTTTAAAATATGTACACTGTAAAAATAATATGAAAATATATTTTTTTTTTTAATTTTTAGTCTTGATTTTAAGTAAATGAAATTTTAAATCGAAAAGAGTGTGTTCCTATTTTCTTAAATCGCTTTATACAATACGCAGTACCTACCAGTATGCAATTAAGAAAATTTCGAATGAATTTTCTATTACATTATACGATTAGGTGTTGTACACGAAAAGGTATCTATGAAGTACAGAGACGTTTCTTATTTGAAGATATGAATAACACCAAATTATTCTTTTATACAGGTTTGACACTGCGAATGTTCGTTTGTTCAACGAAAAACTGTTAAATTAAATTATTCAAAATTAATATTTGTTTACGAGTAAATGAAAAGAAGTGAATAATTTTTAGAAGAATTTTTCTAATATCTTAGTGAAAACAATTTTAAAAATATTCTAATACCCATATTATTTTTATTGTCATTTAAATTCTGTTAAATCCTTCATACGTATCTTGTCATTCATATATGAAGAACAATCCTCATTCTTTCTGCTCATGTTCGAACCCATAAATAATTATAACTCAAATATTGTTGAGAAGAAAATATTTAATTGGTATATTATAGAAGGTAAAATACTATAAATTATTGTTATAATTATCATTGCGATTATCGAAGCCTACAAAATCATCAACTGCTGTTGGTTAACTGTTTTGAAACTTATTTTCTGCAAAAAAAAAAACTCAATTATTTATTCAACGACAATTCAACGTGTAGTTTGTAATAAACAAAAAATAACCTTTTCCGATTTTGTTCATCAATTTTTAATTATTTCAAAGTTTTTATATTTTTCTCTATTCAAAAAATTATGAAGGACTTTTTGAGGTAAAAATTTTTTTTTAAATCAATGTAGCGGAAAATAAAAAAATATATAACAATTTTTCCGCGAATGTTTCCTTTAAAAGTAAAAAAAACTTATTTTTTATACAGATTTTTTTTTTTGAATTTTTAGTTCGAATTTTTTAATTTTTTCTGCTAACTTTGTATAAGATTTTCATTATTTCAGGGATCCAAAAGTTAAAAATTATTTCATTGTTATTAACACAAAAAAAAAAGTTTTTTTTATTATAATTGTGAAAAAACAATGAATTGTTTGTAATGAACTTGACCGTTATTTCAATCAAATGCGATAATGACCTTAAGAAAATTCACTTTCATATTTCTAAATGATTATTTTTAACGTTGTTTTTACGTCGATATTATATATTTGATTTTTGGACAACTTTATAGTTATTTTTGGCTCGAATTTATTACATCGATCGTGCATATTATACTTCTAATAAATCATTGCATATTTTTCGGAGAAAGAACAAAAATTAAAAGAAACGTTAATAGTCGAACTGAAAGGTTTATTAAGTAAGCTAAAAAAAATAATTGTACTTTTTGATGACAACAAATCTAAAATTATTTTAAAGCTTGTGTTTTCGGAAATATATGGTTCGGTTTCAATTGGTGATGAGTAAAAAGAGGAACGTGGTGGAAAAAATCTTCTATTATTTTTAGGAAGTTGCTAAAATTTATAAAGTTTCTAAAAGTCTAATTAACAGTAAATTATGCTGCACCGCACCAAGAAAAAAACGTCTAAGAGAAAAAAGGATTCGTGGCAATACTTTTCTGTATTTAAAAAAATTTTTAAAACTATTTTTAAATTTTTTTAAATATTTTATCAACTCATTGTTTCAATTCTAAATTTTATAACGCTTCATAGATTTTTGATTTGTTGTTCATCTGTAGGAATATTTTAATAAATATTGTATTCAATTCCCGTCATTATTGTCACTATAATTAATATAATTTTACGATCTCAATTTATAAAACAAATTTTGATTTTCAGATTTCAGATTTTGTGAATAACAATTGAAGAAAAGGGAACAATCTTGTTAGATATCTGGGATTAAATTTAAATAATTAGATCAAGTGCAATTACTCATATCAAATTTTTTAATTGTAAAGAGAGAGAGCTCTGACAGAAAATTTGTCCTTCTCTATAACATTCAAATTAATTTTCCCTATTTTTTTTAATCTAAAAATAAATATTAAAATCTTTTAAAATCTCATGCAAATTTTAATTTTATCAATCTGTATTAGAATGTCATATATAAAACGCCTTAAAATATAAACAAATTATAGAATATTAAGAAGGTATAGAATTTCAAATTAATTGAGGCAGTTTAAAAAATTGAAAAGGCGATATAAATTTCATCTTAAATTTTATAATATTTGAATATTAATTGATTTTGGAAACAAATTGGTTGCTTACCATTATTATTTAAAAAACGAAAAATTTAAAACACTTTTGTTTAAAGAAAAGAAATTTTTCTTAAATTCAATGCCATTTTTTTAAGTAATGTTTTTTTCTTCTATATTGAAAAACAAAAGAGAATTTAATTATTTCAATTCCTTTTTATTTACCATATTTTGTTTAGAAAAGAGATAGGAACAAAAATATTCTGTTATATGGCTCTTAATATTCTGAAGTAGGTGAGAAAAATAAAATTTAATCATAATAATGAGAAGCTTTAATATTTAAAAGCAATTTTCTCATTTTCATTCTCTCACATTTATTAAGAAATGTTTACATACTTTCATTAGCTTGATTTTGATAAAATTTTTTTTATGAAATCAGTTAGAATTTTAAATGCATTAAAAATTTTGTATATTTGTGAATGTATATTTGTATGTTTGTATTATATATACTTTTGTTCTATAATTTTATATTCTTATATTAGCCAATTGCAATTAGGAGAAAAATTTAAGAGGAAGAGAATATTTTAAATGCAAAAATAAACAAACAAATGAAATTTAATAATCTTCTCGTCCTTGTAAAAATATTTTTAATTCTCGGTATTTTCTTGTTCAAGGGAATCGTAAAATTACTGAGAAGTTTAAGCATTTTGAAATTTTACATTTATTTCATTTGAAATTATTTTGTAAAATTAATCTTACAAGTTTTAAAAGTTTATTCGTTTCAATTACATACAGTTCTCGTATTTTATACTTTTATGTTAAGTTTCAGTTTATTGCTTCCAAAATAATGAAAACACATTGGAAAAGTCTTTTAGAAATCTATATAATTTTGTATATTTGAAAAAACTCTTGTGGAATATTGACTACTTTCTTAACTTGTTAAGTAGTTGGTGAAAACTTGAATGACATTCACATACTAGTTAACATATAATTACTTATTGCATTTATCATCAATTTGACACACAGCTAATTTTGCCATTCAATTACACAGAGCGCTCATAAATTCTGTTTGAAAATTAATGTAAATATATAATATTTGTGTCTCACATAATCCACATCATAAGAAGTCCTAAATTGAATCAAAAACGAAGGTAACTTCTGCTGTCTGTTAAACTAAAAGAGATATCGAAAAACAGATTGTATATTTTGAAAGATCACCCTCAAAAACCTGTGAAAGTGTTGTGAAGTCAAAAATCACTAAATTGGCCTAACGAACTAAATTTTACTCAGTCAACAATATGTACATTAAAATTTAACTACGAATTATGAATTATTTTCGTTCAGCAAAGACTTTTGAGATTATATTGGTCTATCAAATTTTCACCAAATGTTTAAAATA